GAGAGATACACCGTTCGATCTTTGTTGTTTCTAATTTTTTTTTGTATATATATATATTTTAAATATTCTAATACAAAAATCTAGTTAATTTAACATTCATGAAAAACATGTTTCGCTTTCGGGTATTGAACTAATCTATCTAAAAAAAGATAAATATCTAAGCTGATTTTTTCCATATTGTTAATGGATTAATAACTTTATCTTAAAAGTAAGAATTTTATAAACAGGGTCATTTACAGCTAGGCACACTTTCTTGGCAAAGTGTTACAGTTTAAGACACTTTGCTTCCATCAACACACTTATTGACTATCAATGACACTAATACCCTCAGTTACTAAATCACTACCATTTTTTTTTTTTTTCCATATCAGTAATAAAATATTGCTAAAAGAAAAAAAAACATTGAGAAATTTCTCGATAACCCTAGCGCCGCATAACATCCCTCGCCGTGTCAGAGATTTCGTTTCCGGTGAGCAAACGGTCATAGGTTATTTTCTCCGGTGCTCTATCTTTTGACGATGACGATTTCCGACTTCGTACGAGCTATGGAAGGTATCACCGTCTCTAATTTCACTTTTGTGTTACTTTTGATTGTTCAAATAGTGTTCAATTCAATCATGTAGTCTGCTTCCGTTAATCTTTGATTCGATTCATTAGAATTATTTGGTTGGTTTTTTTATGTTTTCAGTGATTTGTTTCCAATTAGGTCAATATGCATCCGGTTTGTTCAATTATTTTTAAAAATTGTAGATTTGTTTTTTATTTGTGAAGGATAGGAGAGAAGGAGAAATTTGTCAGAAAAAAAAAAATTGTACGCAAGAGTTGAAAAAGAATATGATAGTAATCTACTATAGAATAAGTGTCTTAGTAGGAGGAAGTGAGTAAATTCTTTATGATAGAGTGTGCCACATTGTAATTGTTCCCCAGTTGAAAGGAAGAAGGGAGAAAGTGTCCCTCATTGTAATTATCACAATTTTCTACCTATCTCTGGTAGTGGATTTGACTAACTATTTCATATATAAATGAAATGGGATACTGTATGTCAAACAAAGCAGCTAGCTCTACACATAAGACGTCCGTTGACTTTGACCAAGTGGGGTTTCTCTCTAACGTCCAAATTTCACTACTCAAATTATCCAATTTTCTCTGCAATTTTGCATCTTACAATCTCAGACTGTGAATGATCTCTCAAGGCTGCGAAGTCTGGAGATTATTGTTCTCGATCAACTATAGATGAATACATTAACCAGCATGTTCGAGTCCTTTGGGAGAAAGAGTTGGAGTAGAACAAATGCTTCGGGTACGGGACCAACCTCCGGTGATAGGAAGATGTTAATCGCTTCCCAAGAACAGGATAAGGTCTTGTTTCTCTGTACTATTGATAATTTCGAATCGAGGAAAAATTAGGTTTTTTTCCTTCTTCCTTTTTGTAACGTTTCCCCCAAATCGTATAACCAACTGATATTTGCAGGTAATTCTTTTGAGTCTGAATCTACGTAATGTTAAGACAACAAATAAGGTCCTTCGTAAAGTTTGTGAGATCCCAGGTAATCTCACAATTTACCGGAAAAAGGGATTCTTGATTAAACACTGATTCTTGATTTGATAGATAAGCTTTTTCTTTTGGGTCTAGTTTAGTTCCAAGTCCCAACTCTGGTTTTTTTGTGAAGAGAGTGGTCGGATGTTTGGCTGATAGGGTCATTACTCTTGTTTTAGGTGTCTCTTCTGTATCCCTGGATGGGGACTCCCGGATTACGGTGACTGGGACAGTGGATCCTGAAAAGGTACAGAACAAGCTGAGATATTACCAGGCTATGATAGTTAAGGTTGTGCCTAGGAAGAAGCGGGATTCAGACGAAGAAGGTGGCGGTGAGCATTCTAAGAAAGAACATAAAAAGTTGGTTTTGGATGAGGAGCTTTCTACAAGAGGCTCATACAGTGACAAGCTACCTTCACCAGCATCTAGTTGGGACAGGCTGCCTTCACCAGCATGTAAATGGGAAGGATCAGACGACTTAGATTCAGGGGACGACATTACAATCGTTGCAGACAAATCCACAACTGTAGCTCCATACAGGAGGCAATCGAACGACGACTGGCACTCTTTCTGCGAGTTCCTCAAAAGCCGTATTCCTCTGTCGACTCCCTATGGGTGCAGCGCCGATGATGTCATTGCTTTTCTTCGAACGCGGCAGGTTTCAGGCGACATTGAGGCTCTCGTTAATCGCCTAAGTACCTTGAGTGAGGCATACGGCATAAAACCTGAGAAGAATCCTTTTCGCAGCCTAGCTGTGACTTCGTACCTGAAGGCAGTGAGGGAGATGACTCAAGAAACAGAATGTATACTAGTCTTTTCGTGCAATGACAACCTTGATGCGGACGAGACATCTTTCATCGAAGCCATCTCAAAAGAGTTGCACAAGCGTGAGGTCACCCCATTGACATATAATCTATTGGGCAGAGAGAACCTGGATGAGGAGATGCTATACAGATCTAGTGTTGCTATTATGATACTTTCAAACAGTTATGTTTGTTCTAGACAGTCCCTGGATCATCTGGTGGCAATCATGGAACATTGGAAAGCAACAGGCCTTGTAATTATTCCTATATATTTTAAGGTAACACTTTCAGACATTTGTGGGTTGAAAGGCAGGTTTGAAGCAGCATTTCTGCAGCTTCAGAGTTCTCTCCAGGAAGACAGAGTTCAGAAATGGAAGGCGGCTGTGACTGAAATAGTGTCCATCGGTGGACTTGAATGGCCAAAGGGGTATATTGACTTCTCTTAGCTGTCCATTTACTATGTGTACAATGTGGCAACTGCTCCCCTGGAAACTTTTCCAAAGCTTTTAGCTTATTAACGTTTCCAGTTATATGGAAGAATGTTTCTTGTAGTGTGGTGTTAATTTGGTTATTACATTTTCTGTGTCCTTTTTGCAGGACTCAGTTGATGCTTGCCGAGGAAGTTGTAAGAAATGCATCTTTAAGGCTTTATTTGAGAAATAGCAAGAATCTGGCCGGAATCTTCTCATTGTTACACAACTCCCAGTCTTCAAATGTGGAAATTGTGGGAATCTGGGGAATGGCAGGAGTAGGTAAGACATCCATTGCTAGAGAAGTTTTTGAAATATTAGCTCCGCATTATGATTTGTGTTACTTCCTGCAAGACTTTCATCTAATGTGTCAGTTGAAAGGGCTGGGCCAATTGCGTGATGATTTCTTCTCTAAAGTATTTGGGGAAGAAAAACTAAGTATATGCGCTTGTGATACAAAATTGAGTTTCATGAGGGACAGGTTCCATAATAAAACAATTCTCATTGTTCTCGATGACGTTAGTAATGCCAGGGATGCAGAAGCTGTAGTTGGAGGGTTTGGCTGGTTTTCTCATGGACACACAATCATTTTAACATCTAGAAGAAAGCAAGTTCTTGTACAGTGTAAAGTTAAAGAGCTATTTGAGATCCAAAAATTATGCGAGTCTGAATCTTTTCGTCTCTGCAAACAGTACTTGAATGGAGAAAATCCGGTTATCTCTGAGCTTGTGAGCTGCAGTAGTGGCATTCCGTTGGCTCTCAGAGTTTTAGTTACCTCTATATCAAAGCAGCATGTAGAAAATATGAAGGGACATCTCCAAAGCTTGCGGAAAAATCCTCCAACTCAGATGCAAGAAGCATTTCAGAGAAGCTTTGATGGACTAGATGAAAACGAGAAGAACATATTTTTGGATCTTGCATGTTTTTTCAGAGGGGAAAACAAAGATCATGTAGTGCAACTACTTGATGCTTGCCGGTTTTTCACATCTTTGGGAATCTGTGATCTCATTGACGAGTCTCTTATTAGTCTTCTGGGTGATAAGATAGAGATCCCTATTCCTTTTCAAGACATGGGTCGATTTATTGTACAGAAAGAAGATGATAATCCATGCGAACGTAGTAGATTATGGGACTCTAAAGACATCATTGATGTATTGACAAACAATTTGGTAGGCTGACATGAATTTCTTTTAGCACTCTAGATAACTTCATAGTTATCATTTCTTTAATTGTAAAAGCTGATGTATGTGATCATCTTTGTCAGGGAACAGAAGTAATTGAGGGCATCTTCCTGGATATGTCTGACTTGACCTGTGAGTTGAGTCCTACTGTGTTTTGTGAGATGTATAGACTTAGATTGCTCAAGTTCTATTGTTCCACCTCTGGGAAGGAGTGCAAGCTAAATCTATCTCACGGCCTTGACATTTTGCCTGATGAGCTAAGGCTACTTCACTGGGAGCACTACCCTCTGGAATACTTGCCTCATAGATTTGATCCGGAGAACCTTGTAGAGATAAACATGCCTTATAGCAGCATGGAGAAGTTATGGGAAGGGAAGAAAGTAAGTGTTGTGTTATGGTAATCTAGCTGCTTACAGTTATTTGTAACCTTGATTTGATGACTCATCTTGACTGTTCATGTTGTAAACAGGATCTCGAGAAGCTAAAGAAGTTGAAGCTTAGCCACTCCAAAAATTTAAAGGATATCCGGATGTTATCAGAAGCCCTGAATCTTGAACATATTGATCTCGAAGGATGTACAGGTCTGGTTGATGTTAGTACATCTATTCCTTGTTTCGGGGAGCTTGTTTCCCTGAATATGAAAGATTGTTCTCGTTTGCGAAGTTTGCCTGCCATGGTTGATTTAACATCTCTCAAGCTTCTTAATTTGTCTGGCTGCTCAGAGCTCGAAGAGATTCAAGATTTTGCACCAAACTTGAAAGAGTTATACCTAGCTGGGACTGCCATAAGAGAACTTCCATTGTCAATCGAAAATCTCACTGAACTTGTTACGCTAGATCTGGAAAACTGCACAAGGCTTCAGCAACTGCCATTCGGAATAAACAACTCGAGATCTATTGTCGAGCTTAAGCTGTCTGGCTGTGCAAGTCTCGGGAGTCTTCCAAAACTCAAGGCATTAGATTGTGGAACATCTTAGTTTGATGAGGATGAAGTGTTAGAATCTCTGCAATCAATTTTCGATCACCCTTCAATTGAGAATTAAGCCTAGGCTTTATCTGAAAGCCCTCTAATTGGTGCTTGACCAACAATTATGATGAAGAAGAAGAACGTTGAAAAAACATGGAAAATCAACTTCGCGTTCCTGCTCTACTAAGGAGTTCTTTACCATGCCTTATGGTGTACCGGTTAGTTCTCTTGTTATTATTTGTATTTTTTTTCCTGTTTTCTGTAATAATTGGCATGCATGGTTGGTTAATGCTACTGTTATTTTCTTTAGTTCATAGATCATTTGCTCTTTTGCATTTGCAGCCTGATCGATGGCTGTTCTCACTGTGCTATGCTTATGTGTTTTTTGTTTGTTTCAGTTGCAGTCTGTGGTGGAATTTTCTGTAGGCGCTGAAGTATCCATTTTGGAGTCGGATGTGTGCTTTAAACCATTGGTCGTAGGTTCAGATTTTACGTGGGGAAATTTTATTCATTCTGAATTCTTTAATTCAGAATGTAGGTAGCCTTGGGGTATATCATGAAGTGATGAAACACATCTCCAACCAATTTCAAATTGCAGGTTTCTGACCAAATCTAAATGTTCACATTCCATTTTGTGACGGGAGTGGCTTAATATTGCTCAAGATGTTAGAATTCATATATACAAACAGTTATTTCCAGCGCTGTCCTTAAAAATTGTTCATTGTGTTGTGCAGGTTTAGGAAAATTTCAACACAAGGACGTGCCAACTAGTTGGGGACTTGAAGATATGTGTGCGCTTGATATTTAAATCTAGGAACCCGTTTATGCTCTTGGATCCGTATCATATCATTAGTCACCACATGGATTAACCAGGTACTATTGGTTAGTTGCACTTTAGTCAATATTGAGTTGGATCCATATTAAGTGAGACATCACCGCTTGGCCTTCTTATTTGTGTATAAAGGCAGTTAGAAATAGAGACGATCTGTCAAGTTACCAACTTGGTTTGCTATTGAGATATTGTGTTAGTATTTGACCTTTTTGGTTGCTACATTTATGATCCAGGTATTGAGTTGGAAGTCCATGACATCAGAACACTTGTTATGGATTCTGATTACTTCACTTGCAAATACTCTGGGCGCTAAGACCTGGTATCAACAGTACGATGTTAATATATGCATGAAAACCTTTTTGGTAATAAGAAACCAGATTAAGTAGGAATCTCCGTGATGCCTTAGGAGATTACGATGTTTCTTATTTTAAGATAAATGGTTTCCATATTGTCCTTGTGGGAAGCAGGATTTTGTATGCCTAAGAATAAAGCTATTAGGCCCTCTTAACTGGGAGGTGTACAAAGCTTGGATACCTAATAGCTTT